TACACGACTCTAAGCTTCAGCTTAAAATCAACATACATTTACAATAGAACATGTAACATTTACAATAGAACGTCCTCAAATGACCTTAGCTACTGATACATATAGGACGTTAAACTGTATCAAACCGCAAATTCTCCCGCATCGCACGATCATAAATCATCGTCACTGACAAACATGGATATTTTTTTAAACAATGATTGCTTTCGTAAACAATGTTTGGTACTTATAGCACTGATTACGTTGTGCTTATTCTCATATTTTCGTCTCGACAAAAAGGCGAAACAACGAAATGGCACAAATAAGCCACTGTTATTTATGTTTATGTGCGTTGTTATGGTAACTGCTGTTTGTTATGGTAACTACTGTTTGTTATGGTAGCTGCTGTTTGTTATGGTAACTGCTGTTTGTTATGGTAGCTGCTGTTTGTTATGGTAACTACTGTTTGTTATGGTAGCTGCTGTTTGTTATGGTAACTGCTGTTTGTTATGGTAACTGCTGTTTGTTATGGTAGCTGCTGTTTGCCTGTTGATGTCGTTAGGTATCATGTAGTTCCAGTTGTGTTACGATGTAATATCGCATTAAAATATTTTGTCGTTATGTGTTTACTGTTAAGTATTGAAATATTCGGTGGCTGATTGGTGCTACATCTATGTATTTCCTTGTTTCGTCTTTTCGTCCTTGATAGATGAGAATTTTCCTTTTTTCCCCCTCTTTTCGCCCCCAGAGAGACGACAGTTAAGAACTGAGTTCTCGTTGTTTCGTAGACAAGAAGTAACATACCTTAGTTCTCCTTGTTTCTCCTTTTCGCACCAAAAATACGAAGTAACGAGAAGTAAGAGCTACTAAATCTCGTCTTTCCTGGCAAAAAACACGAACGACAAAATGACACAAAGCAGCTACAATATTTATATATTATTTATATCTTTTAATCTTACGTTTAATAGTATTTAGTCGCGACCTCAGAAATACTGTGTACATATTCGATAAGACCGGCCCCGTCTCTAGAATATTGAATCATTTAGAAATAAAAAAATGATCACTTGGATGTCTTATTCTAGAGAACCTAAGTTCTCAACTAGAGGGAGATAAGCTAGTAGTAAAATGCAATTGAGAAATTCTTCATAAAAACTTAGGGGCTGGTAGCCAGTCTAATATTCTCTATATGCTGGTCACACCCAAAGATATAGTCAAGACACGAAATCTAACCTGGCCTGGGGATCAATTTAGATTTAAGTCTAAAGCTGTTTAATGATGCTTGGACCTGGTGAGAGAGTCATTTATCTCATGTTTGCAATGCTAGTTTAATAGTTATTCCTGAATACGCATTCATTAGTGGCCGAGGCCTCCGGCCGTGTATAACACAGATACCTGTTTAGGGTGTGTGAGATCTGGGCGCTAGGTGATGGGTCAACGCAGATTAAATTAATTCTCTTGTTCTGTTCATTTATCGTCGTGCTGCAGACCTGAGATAATATATTGACTGACTTGTAAAAATGAAACGATCGATCATAAAAAAGTAACGACATGGGCTTCGTCCTACACTAGAGTAGAGTGATCACAGTTGCCAACTGGTGTTAGATTTATCACTATATTGACATGACGAAAGTCTCAGCATGATTTATCTCAGTCCCTGGCACGCTGTTGAGCCCATGTCCTACATCGCTGGTTGGTCACTTGTCCCAAACACGTCACGTCAAATATCAATACACGTTGTTTGGTCACATGTCCTTACACGTTGTTTGGTCACATGTCCTTACACGTTGCTTGGTCACATGTCATTACATGTTGTTTGGTCACATGTCCTTACATGTTGTTTGGTCACATGTCCTTACATGTTGTTTGGTCACATGTCCTTACATATTGTTTGGTCACATGTCCTTACACGTTGTTTGGTCACATGTCCTTACACGTTGCTTGGTCACATGTCCTTACATGTTGTTGGGTCACATGTCCTTACATGTTGTTTGGTCACATGTCCTTACACGTTGCTTGGTCACATGTCCTTACATGTTGTTGGGTCACATGTCCTTACACGTTGTTTGGTCACATGTCCTTACATGTTGTTTGGTTACATGTCCTTACACGTTGTTTGGGCACATGTCCTTACACGTTGCTTGGTCACATGTCCTTGTTCATGTACGCTGCATGGTTGCATGTCCTACTTCGCTCGTTTGTTACATATGCTTACACGCTGGCTTGCCGATTTTCTTTTTTCACTGTTTAGTCACATATCGTTGTATGCTGGTTTGTCACTTATCCTTGTTCGATGTTTAGTCACATGTCCTTGTTCGTTGCTTAGTCACATGTCCTTGTGCGTTGCATGGTCACATGTCCTTGTACGTTGCTTGGTCACATGTCCTTACACGTTGTTTGGTCACATGCCTTTGTGCGCTGTTTGGTCACATGTCCTTTCTCATGTACGCTGCATGGTTGCATGTCCTACTTCGCTCGTTTGTTACATATGCTTACACGCTGGCTTGCCGATTTTGTTTTTTCGCTGTTTAGTCACATATCGTTGTATGTTGGTTTGTCACTTATCCCTGCACACTTTTTAGTCACATGTCCCTAAAGGCTGTTTTATCACATGTCCTTGTGCGTTGCTTGGTCACATCCTTGTACGTTGATGGGTCACGTGTCCATGTACGCTGTTTAATCACATATCTGTGTGCGTTGCTTGGTCACATGTCCTTGCACGCTGCTTGGTCATATGTCATTGTGCGTTGCTTGGTCAAATATCCTTGCAGCTGCTTGGTCACATGTCCTTGACCGCTGTTTGGTCACATGTCCATGTACGCTGTTTAATCACATATCTATGTGCGTTGCTTGGTCACATGTCCTTGCAAGATGTTTGATCAAATCTCCTTGTGCGTTGCCTGGTCACATGTCCTTGCAAGCTGTTTGGTCACATGTCCTTGCAAGATGTTTGATTACATATCCTTGTGCGATGCTTGGTCACATGTCCTTATACGTTGTTTGGTCACATGTCCTTACACGTTGTTTGGTCACATGTCCTTGCAAGCTGTTTGGTCACATGTCCTTGCAAGATGTTTGGTCACATCTCCTTGTGTGTTGCTTGGACACATGTCCTTACACGTTTTTTGGTCGAATGTCCTTGCACGCTGCTTGGTCACATGTCCTTGAACGTTGTTTGGTCACATGTCCTTGCTAGCTGGTTTGTCACTCGTCCCTGCATGCTGTTTGTTCATAAATGTATGTCCTTCTGCGAGTATTTGTCCCGTGTCCTTACACGCCGGCTTGTCATTTTTCTAGTTACACTGTTTAGTCACTATTTCTCTTGTTTGTCAAATGTCTTTGTTTGCTGGCTAGATACATTTTCTCCTTTGAAAGTAAGCCACATGTCTGATTCCGCCGGTTCCTCATGTGTCCTACCACACCGGTTGTACTTCTGGTAGGAAGCCTACAGTAGAAGGATAAATGCACTGCAAACTTTACAGCCTAAATTGGCGATTGTCGCACCTTGCACAAGAATCCCCGTCAATGTCCGTTGCGGTCAACTTAAGGGGGAGATACAGTGACCATTGGTGAAAACTGGCAATTTTTTCAGTGGTGAAATACAAGGGCAATGAGTACCGTAACGCATTTTGTTTGTGCCCAATGGTTTCATTGATGAACAAACATTTAACAAAATCATATTTTTTTCTCAAAAATTGTTTTATAAGAAGAAAACTAGTGTTTTTGTAATTGTTTATGGTCGCATCGCTGTAGCTTTTATTACACGATATACTATTACTAAATAAAGATTAGTATTTCTCGTACATATAAGGAATGGAAACCTATCGAGATATTTTCGAAATTCTATTCTATATCGACAAAAATCCTTTCTGAACACACGTGGGGGTGACAAATTTCACTAGGTTTTGAGACTTTCGAAAGAAAGCGAAAATGCGTGTCTTCATACCTTGTATACAAAATAATCTGGTCTTGACAATCGGTCACATGGTAAGGTTTGGTTAAATGAATGTCGTTACCAATGACTGCTAATGAAGAAAACATGGATCACATGCAGATTCAGTAGAAAAAACGGGGATTTCACAGACTAAATTCACAATGTTGTTTACATCTCGCCATGATGGACTTTTAACATTCTGTGATATCAATACGCGAATCCGAAAATCTTTGCGAAACATCGATAAAACTGATATCGTTGTCTCAAAATGACAATATTACATGTTATGCAACAACAGATGTATCATAAAAATATGTAATCTTGAACTTAAATGTTCAAAAATCATAAAACTGAAACACATATAGTTCTTCGGAAGCGGAGTATAAACAATAGCACAGGTGTTGTTGGGCACATCCGGTAAGCTAACCAAGGACAGTCCGTTTGCAAGTAAGTATGATTTACACATAAATATTACTATTACGTTCGAGATCCTTAAATATTATGCAATATATGCTGCATTAATTATCACTGAGCTAGTCGATCGCAGATCGTCAGTTTCTTATCGCTCCTATAACACTTTTTATGAAGTGTTTGCCCCGTGTTGAACGTGTCAGATCTGCATTTTCTCACGTGGTTACACGCATTTGTTTGGGGTCCGAAAACTTTCTCGCTGTCTGGACAACAAGTATTTGCAAAATAAAATCATTTTAATTTTTGACACATTTCCTTCCATCTATGTTTGTATCATTATTTGATACATTGCCATTTTAATTAATTTATTCCCGAAAAATAGCATGTGTTATGCATTGTTTACCCCCCTGTCAGTAGCCCCCGAAAATGTAACTCGAGTATAAAAGACCGTGCGTGACTGTATGGAGACTCATACACGTGTAGCACTTCAAATTAGTCTTGGGAAAGAGAAAAAGTCTTTTAAAGTTTAATTTAGCAACTGGAAGGCATTTTGAAGTAATGTACATCACTACATGTGTATGTATATAATTTTGTTTTCAGTTTGTACCCCAAGTGATCTTCTGTGATTACAGAAATTCATGAGTTAAGAAACCTATGAGAACTGGCAACAAAAAAGATTACAAATACTACAGTGTCTAAGGCAACAGGATCAGGTAAACATAAGTGGATTGGTCGAGCGGTTACTAAATAGTATTCATTCGCAAAGTGTTTTATAGACAATTAACTTATTTTGTCATTTAATCTGTTAAATATTATGCATTAACTTTTTGTGAATTGATTCTACATCCAACATATGCCTTCACATAGGACACTCTCATTCAGACAATTGAAACAAGCAAATCACACACTGTTGTTTAGTAAATAAAGTAGCAAGTAAAGTATGCACAAGTGTGATTGGTATGAAATTGAATAACTGACTGAATCATAATATTTCACATTTAAATTTTATATTTTGTTTCAAAAAACATTAAGTTCTTACTCAACAATTTGGCATGTTTTTGAAACTATTTATATTTCTATCCTATAAAGCAGTGGAGAAATTGATGCAATGTAGAATTTTTAAAACTATTTTCAGGTGAAAAAAGTGAACTTCCAGCTCAAAGTGTTCCCACATCAAGAAGGTGTCAAGTTAAAGATGCAACAATGTTAGAACAGGTACACAGTTATAAAAGTTCTGTTTAATGTTTACTGGACTGTTTTAATGACACAGAAATAAACATATTGACCCCATGATTTACATGTGCCATACCCAGAGGTTAGCCCCTGTCTGTACCGGTGCTTTCTGTTCTGGTTCAACCAGTTGAAACAGTTGATGCTGATCAAAGCAAAACCCTGTGGTCAGCTTTGAATTCTAACAATCAATTTTTGCAAAGTTTGCATCTGGCCAGCCACTGTTCATTTCAAAGTAATTGAAGTCTCTATACATGATCTTAAATTTGGGGATATTTAGGTGAATTCATGGAATTAATCTGAATATAGTAATTTCCATGTTGAGAGTAAAATGATTGTGTCATTGTATGAATAAAGATATTGATTGCATATTTCCTACATGTCCAAAATTGTCATTAAATCTGTGAATATCATTGTATTCATATAATTTATCGATATCAACTTAGTACAAGTAAGTGGGTGATTAATGCTATAACTTAAGTATTCTTAGCTATTATATAAAGGTAAAACAGGATTTTATTTTTGTTGATCAGGCAATCCCACCTGTGTATCCAAACCACCCTGCCATTTATCACAGCCTGCTGACCTAACCTACGAGGCATGTATTAACACACCAGAGCATCTTACCCTTTATACCACCCAACCTGTAAGACCTGCCAACAGTCCCGATGCAGCAGACCAGCTGACGTGTGTACGCACAGACAACTGAGCCAACAAGTCTACTTGAGTCACTCTGTCTGCTTCTGAAGCTTGGTAATTTAATAACGGGCTAAAATATGACATTTTTAGCTCACCTCCCCGAAGGGCAAGTGAGCTTATGCCATGGCGCAGCGTCTGTCGTCCGTCCGTCGGTCAACTTTTCCTTTAAAACGCTACTTGTCCTGAACGGCTAAGTAGATTTTGACCAAATTTGGTGAGAAGCATCTTTGGGGGAAGGAGAACACATTTTGTATAAATGGAGGGTGTGGCCCCCCTGGGGGCTGAGGAGCGGGGCCCAATAGTGAGAATATAGCAAATTCTTAAAAATCCTTGTTTTTCTGTAGGAATGAAAGGATTTGTTCCATATTTGAAGCATCCTTGGGTGAAGAGGAACCAATTTTGTATAAACCGTGGGTCTGCCCCCCCCCCCAGGGGCCTTAGGGGCGGGTCAAATAGGGGAAGCATAGAAAATTATTCTTTAAAATCCTTCTTATTCTGTCGGAATGAAAGGATTTGGTCCATATTTGGTGTGGAGTATCCTTGGGTAAAGGGGAACAAATTTTGTATAAACGATGGGTATGGCGCCCCCTGGGATCTGAGGGTGGGCCCAATAGGGGAAATAAAGGTAAAACTTTTAAAATCCTTCTTCGACCATCGGGATTAAGGGATTTTATCCTAATTTGGTCTGGAGGATCCTATGGCCAAGGGGACTCAATTTTGTATAAGCAGTGGTTGTGGTCTCCAAGGGGGCAGAAGGACGGGGCCCAATATGGGAAATAGAGGTAAATCTTTAAAATCCTTCTTTTACCATAGGGATGAACGGATTTCTTCCCAATTTGGTCTGGAGGATCTTGGGCAAAACGGACTCAAGTTTGTATAAACGGAGGGTGTGGCCCCTCTGGGAGCATAGGGGCGGGGCTCAATAGGGGAAATAGAGGATTTTTTCTCTCTCCAACTATACAAGTGAAGGGATTTAAACCAAATGCAGTCTGAAGCATGCTTAGGGGAAAACAACTCAATTTTGTTTAACTTGTAAAAAAGGTGCATGTGAGGCCCAATAGGGGAAATTTAGTAAAACTAGGACATAACATGGAAAATCATTTTCTTGTTGTCTTTCCCACCAAAACAGATTTATATGTAGTTCTTCTTGCAACTTTGTAACTTGTACTCCTTTGATAAACCTGAATGGTACTCAGCATGTTTTAAATTGAAAAATAAATTACCAGGTGAGCTACTAAGGCCCCTAGGCCTCTTGTTTGACATAAAATAATATCATTGTAACATTATGTAAATGATTGTAAAACAATTTGAATGGGAAATGTTATTGTAATTATATCAATGTAGACAATGGATATATTTGAAGTTTGTTGGTGTCAATGCTGCTTCGTTGGGTTGGAAAACACATATATCAAGTTCTGTACTTTAAAATCTCTACCTGTACAGCAGATAATTTTGAACAGGTAACATATGTAAACTCTGACAGTATAAATTATGGCAGCATTATGTATGATGTTCAGAACTAATAGATAGACCAATAGTCACCACTTTGTAATAAAATGTAATTAGGAGCACCTTCATTCTGCAAATTATGTAATGCACATATATGAAAACTATAGAGCTTGTTTAGGAATCAGTACCTACCTCTACCTGATAGTTTAAAGTTGTGATATTTATTTTTATATGTAAGCGTAACCAAGAGCAGCCCAAGATGTTTTGTGTAGAACTGTTTTATTTTTCCTATGTTACAGGAAACAGATACATGACAAACTAGCTGAGCAGTTGGTCCACTAGTTGAGTCAGCCAACCCAAGTCTGCCAGTCCAGTCAGCCAGTCCAAGTCAACCAGTCCAGTCAGTCAGCCAAGTCAACCAGTCCAGTCAGTCAGCCAGACAGCCAAGTCAACCATTACACTCTCCCATCCCAGTCAACTAGTCCAGTTAGCCAGCCCAAGTTACACAGTCCAGACAGCTAGTTCTCCAGTTAACCAGTCCAAGTCAGTCAGTCCAGCTAACCAGCCCAAATTAACCAAACCAGTCAACTGCTCAAGTCAACTATACCAATCAACCAGGCCGGTCAACTACCCAAATCAACTAGACTACTGTCAAGTTCACCCATTCCTGTCTTGATGGTTAGTCATAATTCTCAGCTAAGCATTGTTCTGGGGCCAATATTAGGCCTATTTTAGCTGTAGACAAATCTATTACTTTATATGACACCCTCTTTACTTACTGCACTCACCAGAACAAATATACTGGACAATATGGACTGTCTCTAGTAAATTTAGGCTGAATGGATAACTGCACTTATCAGGATGAAAGATAAACGTTTTGATGTTTTCTAGCTAAGGTGTTGTACTCTGTTAGCTATTTATCAAACTACATTTGAGACAAATGCCACCTGATGTGAAGTTACACAATGCTGATTAAATATGTAAATGAAATAGTTTACTGCACAAACTGTGAGATAATATATGTCAGTCAGAAAATGTTTTAGTAGAATTGCTATATTTTTGTTATTTTATAGATGACAGATACAATACACATTATCCATTGAATCAGTTGGGCACTTGAGCCAATAGCCAACCAACCCAGTCAAATCAGGCAACTAGCTCTACCAACTCATCAAACAGCCAGGCAGCCAACCAAGTAACTTCTTCCTCTAAATACCCTGCAAGCCTTTTTATAAAGATCTGATAACAGTCAGTCAATGATGCAGCTAGTTCAGCCATTGATCTCTTGGAAATCATTTCTTTGGTAAGCATATTCGAATTGTTCCTTGATAAACATATTAGAATTGATCATGACTTACAACTTACAAAACTTTTGTGCATCTGGATCTGGTGTTACATGTATAAGTATCCATGTACCACCCCTATTGTTAAATAGAGAAAATATTTTATGATGAGTATTGGTTTAGGTATTCTACAACAATGTATATCTTTCACTTAATTAATTTGAATGAAATATAGTCAGGCTAATTGAAATCTCAGATCATATCTTCAGCTAATCTTTATAATGAAGCATATTAACGGTATCTAAACTGATGTGTTGTTGATTTATATTTTCAGACAACCAACCATTATGGAAGTCATATACTTGATAAGTTTCCCTACAGCTATATTTTTACTGATGTGACAAATACAACAATCATACTGTGTAGATTCTATCTGGCGTCCTATACAACAGATACATTGAACAGAAAGGCTCCTGTTTGCAGACTATAATACATCAAATTAATTTCATACATGAGGTAAGTTTATCTGCCAGTAAAGATAACTATTTTAAACATTGTTCAGTTAATAATTTTGAATTGGGAAGCACAAACACACCTCGTGAAAATAAAGCCTGCCATGTTTCAACAATCTGGGTGAAAAACTGAGAGAACAGATTTCTGGACAAGATTGAAATGTTGAAGAATAAAAGGGCAATAGTTCTGTGAAATATGACCAAAATCAAATTCCAATTCAGAAAGCACAACTACATGTTGTGGCAACAAATCCAAGCAGGTTTAAAGACTGTTGAGGTGTGTAGAAATCAGGGCGAACATCTTTGAACAGTTTTGAAATTAAGATAAAATAAAGGGTGATCACTCTTTTAAAGATTGTCTGAAACATTTTCCAATTTGGAAGTCGAAACTATGTTTGAAGATAATAAAGCCATCAAAGTTTTAAGAGGATTTAGTAAAAATGAAGGAAATTTTTTATTTTTTTTATTTTCAGTTTTGCAGTTTTGAGCCTCCATACTTTCTGCTTCACTGACTACGTGGACTACTTTCTAGCAAAAAATGGCTGAAAATTTTGCCAACAACCATCAGGAAATTATGCCAGTATTTCATTGTGAAGGGGTTTTGAGTGAATTCCTTTGTAGGTTTTCATAGACTACAGATTGAAGAAATTAAATAACAATTTTGTGGAAATTTAGGACTTAGCTAGGGACGCAACCATCCAATGAATTTAAATGTGTTCTCAGAAAGTTTTGAGTTAACTTTTAAAAATTATTATTGTCTATAAATGACAATTATGTTCTAATGAACATTTTTGGTATTTGATAAGGGTATGCTTGTTGTTGTTAAAGTGAAATATTTCACTGGGTTGTATATGCATGTGGATATGCCATATGACTTGTATCTCCCCCTTAAGCATGAGGTCACTAACGAGTTACATACAATGTATAGAGCGCTAATTACTGACAAATGATTTATATTCTGTTTCTACCATTAATTATTAACTATTATTATTAATTCTTTAAATAAAGATCTACTTTAGGTAATATTAGAAAAGTTTTTTGTACCATGGACATGCTTTTAGATTTTATTTTGTACTTTAAAAGTGGAAACTTGTGTCGAAATGATTGCTTTGGGAATGGTTCTGAAATCTTTATATGTCAAATCATTGCTTTAATTTATAAATAAATATTCACTTTAGGATATGTTGTTCTTATATACCCAACGCGAAACATGCAAACTTTTCCCAACAATAACCCCCCCCCCCTTTTTTCTTTTTTCTTTTTAAATAATTAATTTATTCACTGCGTTTTGTATATGTGTCGTCCTTTAAACGACATTGGCGGAACAGCACTATATCAATACAATTGGCGCCAATAATAAACCGTAGTTATTTGAGCGTTTGACGCAGGGGCATGCACAGCGACAAGACCCTCATTTAACAAGGTTTATCTATGAGGTCATAAGTACACCACATGTTACGTCACGAGAGTTTTTGCTTTTTATATAAATAATGTTAAAAAACTATCAAAAAGGGAAAAATCAATATTTAAAAAAAAATTGTAATAGGTTAAAAGACGACTTCATTTCTTCAACTGCTCGGGTATGTATTATAATAATCCATAAAAGAAACACGATCTTGTCTTGATAAACGAAGCACATGTTTT